TCAGGAGGCTGAGGCAGGAGGATCACTTGAGACCAGGAGTTTGAGGTTGCTGTGAGCTAGGATGATGCCATGGCACTCTAGCCCGGGCAACACAGTGAGACTCTGTCTCAAAACAAACAAACAAACAAAAAAAGATACTAGTTCCAGAAAGAACAATGGAGATGGGAAAAGACTGCTCAGGGCATGGAAGTTGGCTAGTGTCCATTTAGGCTTGGGCCTCAGTATGATTCAGATGGGTATAATGTTAGTTGAGGTAGTGTTCTGCTCCTGTATTAGGTGCATGACCTTGTATGTAACACAGGGGTCTAAGAATCCTAGAGGATAGTATCTTCTTTGAGCCTTAGTCTTACACTTGTTCCCCTAGGCAGAGTGAGAAAGGGCCAGATAGCTAATCTGCCAGCCTGCAAGGTATGTAGGAGGCAGATTCTATTGATCAGCTCTCTGAGGATTGAGAGGACCAGCTAAGGTCACCCTTCCTCTGACTTATAGTTCTACTTAGCATGCTCTCAAGTTTGCAAGGCAGCAGGAGGTGTGGCCAGTGAGTCTACAGGACTTTGCTGCTTCTATGAAGCAGCAATATTGTCTTGGTTTGAGCACTGTCGAAGGCCATGCACTCAGTTCCCATCGTGGCCAGCAAGCCTTGCCTCGTTCACTTCTATGACCACAGACATTATCCCCCACCCCAGCAGCCACCAGGGTACTCTGTGAAAGTCCATCCCTAAAATTAGAAAAGCCATTTATTTGGCCTTTCATGGTTCAGTATCATCATAATTACATATGAAAGAAAAGAATATTGTGGGACTATGTCTTAGGAAATACCACTGGAAATAAGTCTATATACCTTTGAATAAAAAGCCGAAGTATGTTTTCTGCCAAATATTTTAGTCTTTTGGGAAACTTGTAATAATCATGCCAGAGAAACAACATCATCAAGTCTGAGTGACTTAGAGGTGGCAGTATTGATTTTCTGCTGATGCAGACTTCTGAAGATGATTGGATAGTTCTAAACCATACAAGTGTGATTATTCCATTCTTCCCTTCTGAGGATAATATGTGGAAACAAGACCCTAGACTCCTTTGGGATTTGTTGTCTCTGTGGGCCCCTCCTGTTATAAGCACCCCACTTTAGTCCCAGCGTGTCTGCTGTAAATGCTCCATGGAAAAGGGCATCGTGGACATTACCTTCCACCTACTGAGTCTTCTCTGTCCTTCGGAATTCAAGGACACAGGCAGGTCCAGGCTTGTCTGGACTTTTATCCCAGCACTCAAGTGTGTATGAGGTATCTGGTTACTGACATTCGTAAC